GGAGGGTGGGGTAGAATACCTGCCATTTGAGAAAATGAACAGAAAATTTTAAGATCCAAGAAGGTGGGGGTGGGGGATAATGAACATGAAAGGGGCTGGCCAGAGCCCAGCCTCACCATGCTGTGGGCTCAGTGCTCTCAGAGTGAAGACGCCTTACTCCCTGCACATCCCCTCATGTTCCCACACAAGGCCAACAGTGGAGATGTTCAAGAGGACCAGGGAGGCAGGCAAGGAAACTATTTGCCTCAGAAGAAATGGGCTCTATTGGTTTCTGTCCTGACCAGAGCCTATGCAGGAAGAAGTCTGGGAAGTGCAGTCATGGTCACTTCATAGGAACGTGTGGCAGATGACTGAGGGAAAAATGGCAAGTGTGGATCGGCCACTTGGGGGCTTCGCATTGGGAGGTAGAGCTCTGAACTAGACCTGAGCTGCCTTCTACACATTGACCAAAGCAGTGGTGAGGGTGGCCAGTATGGGCCCGTAGTGATGACTGAGGAAAGGGACCATTTCCTGCCCAGTGTCTCCTTTGACTTCAGCTGCTCAAACTAACAGAGGTCCCCACTGTCACCGAAGAACCAGCCCAACTCTGCTGGCTTGGTTTGGAATTTGTTTCATCCCTAGCTGTGAGTGCCTTTTGGTCTGGGAAGTTGGCTTGTCTCATCATACCCACAGCTAGGACACACTCTGTAATTATGAATTGTCCTTGTTTTCCTGAGCTAAAAGCGAATGTCTTTGATCACTAGAGTTTGTCAGTGTTGGGTTGTTTCCACTGTGAGGTTCTTAAAACGTTTTTGCTTCATAATGTTAAAATAACTCATGTTAGAAACCCTTTCTACAGGAAAGGTTTGTAGTTGAGACGTTACATATATTTTACTGTTTATAATAAAAATCATCTATACAGAAGAAGTCTTGGGTGTTAATTTTAATATTTTGCACAAGATCTGTTTTCCACGCTATGTTAACATCTACAGTTTCACTAACTTGGTGTTACTTTCTATTGAGATTTCTGAAGCCTAGAAAACTGTGTTCTTTATGTTTTTTATTTTTATTTTGTTTCCTCAAAGCAAGAGACTGTATGGCCTTCACTGCAAAGACTTCAGACCAATTATTTGTATTACACTTGGTTGCCTCTTGGCTATATAACTTCTGAGTACAAGTCATCAAAGTCTTGAATGAAGTATTGTAGAGAATAAATCATAATGGATACAATTTGTCTTCTGCCTCTTTGTAACCAGGTGACTTGAAATTTGAAACTGAGTAGCAGTTACCTTGTTTCTTTGTTGGTGGTCCTCATAAGAGATCTGCCCGCCTCCCAAGTGCTGGAGTTAAAAGTGCACTACCATACTGAGTGAGATTATTACCTAGTAAAAAGATCCCTATGAGTTGGGTGTGGCGGAGCCATCCTTCAATCCCAACACTCTAGGGGACTACACACTGAAAGGCCCTGTTTCTTTAAGGGAAAAAAAAAAAACTATAGATGAACTGGATGCGTCAGCAGATGAAGGTGCTTGCCACCAAATGTGACCTGAGTTCTACCCCTGGGATATAATGCAGTTGAAGGAGAGAGCTGTAGCAAACTGTCCTCTGCCTTTACACATGTGCCTGGTGCACAATACATGCACATAAAAGTAAGTGATCTAAAGATTTCTATTTGGGATTAGAGGTGCTTAAATGTGTGATATAAAGCTGGCCATCATTCTCTTGGTGAGGTCAATGGTGCTAATTCTTGCTGAGAATAGGGGTGATAAGATACTTTAAAGCTCTTTCCAAAACTAGGCATGGTAGGTAGCTCATGCCTGTAATCCCAGCATTTGGGAGACTACAGGAAGATGGCCAAGAGTTGAAAGCAAGGGTGGACTACAGAATGAAATCTTAGCTCAAGAACAACGGGCTGGAGAGGTGGCTCAGAGGTTAAGAACACTGACTGCTCTTCCAGAGGTCCTGAGTTCAATTCCTAGTAACCACATGGTGGCTCACAACCATCTGGAATGAGATCTGGTGCCCTCTTCTGAACTACAAGTAAACATGCAGTCAGAACACTGCATACATAATAAATCTGAAAAAAGAACAATCTAGGTTGGTGGCACACATCTTTAATCCCATCATTTGGAGGCAGAGGCAGGCGGATCTCTTGTGAGTTTGAGGCCACCCTGGGCTACAAAGAGTTCCAGGACAGCATCTGTTACACACACACACACACACACAAAAGCTTTGATATAGTGACATAAGCCTCTATAATCTCAGGAGGCAGAATGATCGCTGTGAATTTAGAGCTAGTCAAGACAACATGGTGAGTTCCAGGCAAGCCTAGGCTACAGAGTAAAGCAAAACAACAAAAGTCTGGGCTGGAGAAATGGCTCAATGGATAAGAGCACATGTTTTCAGAGGATCTGGATTTGGTTTACAACACCCACATGCCACATGACCACTAACAACTATCTGTAACTCCAGTTCCAAGGGATTTGACCCACTCTCCTAGCTTCCTTAGATACTGCGCGCACACATAATACACAGACATGTACATGCAGGCAAAACACCCAGGATTTGAGGGGCATGGTGTCCCATGCTTGTAATCCTGACACTCAGAAGGGCAGAGACTGGCAGACCTTTTTGAGTTCAAGGCCAGCCTAGCTGAAGAGTCAGCCAGGGCTATGCCATAAGACCCTGTCTCCTGGCTTGTTAAATGGGATTCAAACTCTAGGCTTATTGTGTAGCAAAGGTTCTTAACCGTCTCTTGAGCCCTAGCCTGTTGGAAGTTCCTTAACCAAGGTCCAGTACACAGTGCTATTGCTGGATGGCTCTCTAGCCATCTGAATTGTCATCAGAGCTTTATATAAGGTGGGATTATGGACAAGTGTCAAACCCTTTAGAACAGTGGTTCTCAACCTTCCCAATGCTGCGACCCTTTATTTATTTATTTATTTGGTTTTTCGAGACAGGGTTTCTCTGTGTAGCTTTGCGCCTTTCCTGGAACTCACTTTGGAGACCAGGCTGGCCTCGAACTCACGGAGATCTGCCTGCCTCTACCTCCCAAGTGCTGGGATTAAAGGCGTGCGCCACCACCGCCCGGCGCTGCGACCCTTTAATATAGTTCCTTGTTGTGGGGACACCCACCAACCATAAAATTATTTTCGTTGCTATTCATAATTATAATTTTGTTACTGTTATGAATCATGAATCACAATGTAAAAATTTTTGGAGACAGATGTTTGTCAAAGGGGTGTGACCCATACATAGGTTGAGAACCACTGTTTTTGAACCTGGACATGTAGAGGGAGGCTTGTGTTTCAAGTCAAGATAAGCTTTCTGAAGTTGCAGACAGAGCAAATAAGTCTAGCTTGGCCAAGTAATATTACTAGGGTTACTGACTGGAGTATGGCCAACTCATAAACAGTTATACCACTGAAAAGTGCCAACACTACCCTTAAAGTTCTATGCCCCCTGCTTTTGAGGGGTGGCAAGTTCTCATGTATCCTAAACTGACCTAGGTGTGCACACACCATCCCACTTTTATGGGGTGCTCGGGTCAGAACTCAGGGATTCATGCATGACAGGCAAGCACTCTACTGAGCTATATCCTCAGCATCAAGATCCTATTTTATGTGGCTCTAAGTCTACAGCAGAATTTATGCAAACCTTATCAGAGAGCTGCCATCTACTGTTGATGAGTCAGAGGCTACACAGGCTCAGAAAACCTAAAATACAAATGAAACCAGATACAGGGAATTTTGTTTTGTTTTGTTTTTCAAGACTGGGTTTCACCGGGCAATGGTGGCGCACACTTTTAATCCCAGCACTCGGGAGGCAGAGTCAGGCAGATCTCTGTGAGTTCTAGGCCACCCTGGATGGACTACCAAGTGAGTTCCAGGAAAGGCGCAAAGCTACACAAAAAAAAACAAACAAATGAGGAGCGGGGGAGAGACAGGGTTTCTCTGCATAGCTTTGGCGCCTTTCCTGGAACTCACTCTGTAGCCCTCAAACTCACAGAGATTCACCTGGCTCTGCCTCCCCAGTGCTGGGATTAAAGGTGTGTACCACCACCGCCAGCTACTAAACTCTTTCAGATGGGATTTGGGTCATCATGCTTGCAAGGCAAACACTTCAGTGACTAACCATCTGCCCAATTCCAGTTCCCACTTTTTTTTTTTTTTGAAAAGATTTATTCATTTGTTTGTTTGCTTGCTTGCTTTTTTCAAGACAGGGTTTCTCTGTGTAGTTTTGGAGCCTATCCTGGATCTTGCTCTGCCTCCCGAGTGCTGGGATTAAAGGCGTGCCCCACTGCCGCCACTAGAAACAATTTAACCCTAACCCCACCCAGTTTTGCAACAGGATGATATGTAACCTAAGTTGGCATGGAATCATGGAGTTTGCTATATAACTAAGGCTCTTCTTGAACGTTGTTTGCTTGTTTTGTTTGAGACAGGATCTCACTCTGTAGCCCTGGCTGTTCTGGAACTATCACTATGTAAATGAGGCTGTCCTTGAACTCTAAGATCCTCTAGCCTCTGCCTCCCAACTGCTGGGATTAAAGGCATCTGCGGCTACACACCGCTCTCCAACTCCTTATCCTCTTGCCCAGTAGTTTACGACATGACTAATACATCGGGGTTAATAAATTTTCTCTTTACATAAACAAATCATTGAAAGACATTCCAGTATGTTTCTGTAGTCACCTCCCCAGCTTCCCACCCTAGGCCATTCCTTGGGTCAGACACTCACTTAGTTCATTCCTGCACTTCACTTAATCCTTTCCTCCCCAAAAGGCTTACGGAAAGTCCCAGGTCCCACGGCAAGGGCGTAATGCAGAAAATAAGTTTATCTCCAAGTCGAGCAGGTGAGAACCCCCACTAACGACCGGGGAGCCAGCAGGACTGCGACCTGAGACCTCCTCGCGCGGCGAAGCCAGTCTCGTGGGTCCCTCCCGGTGTTTCCCCTCCGGGTCTACGCAGCTCCCTCAGGCCCCGCCCTTTCCACCCGGCCCCGCCCCCGAGCCTGATTGGTTCCTTTCCTGGCCCGCCCTCTCGGCTTCCTTTATCCGGCGGCGTCTGGGGCAGTCCTTCCCAGAGCAATGGCGGCGGGCGGCAGCGATCCGCGGGCTGGCGACGTGGAAGAAGACGCCTCTCAGCTCATCTTTCCCAAAGGTGAGACCCGGGACAGCTCGCCTCGGAGGTGGCATGGTCCTTGAGTTAGAGTCGTTATTCGCTCCCTGGTTATCCCTGGCCCTGACACGCGCAGGGGATTGATTGGTCAGCATGGCACAAACGAACCCTTGCGCGGGTTTAGTTAATTCCTTGGAGGAAGGGCCTTCTGCATAGATTCCACGCTCGGGTGTTTGGAATCGTGGACATCCATATACCCTCCGCTTGTAGTGCCACTGGTTATCGTTCTGTTGTTGTTTATTGTTTGAAACAGTGTCTCACGTGTAGCCCTGGCTGGCCTACAATTTATATTGTAGACCAGGCTGGCCCTGAACTCACTGAGATCAGCCAGCCTTTCTGCCTTTTGACCTCAAATCCAAGGCGTGCGTCACCACACCGGCGGTTTTGTTTTTTGAGTGTTTTCTTTATGTATCTTAGGCTGGCCTCCAACTTGTCACATTCCTGTCCCATCCTCCCTAGTGCTGGAATTAACGGCATGTGCCATCACTCTTGGCATTAGGGGTGTTTATGTCCATTTTCTGGCATGCAAAAGACAGATCTGGAGCAGAGGTCTTATTTCTAAATTGGCAGCTGACAGAAGCTGAGCTATGGCCCCATTATAGTGCTAGTCAAAAGCGGTTCAAAGTCTGTAGGGCAGGAGCGTGCATATTCTTACCACTGTCTCTGAGCAGAGATGCTGTTGTCAGTGGTTTCTGGGCCCGCCTTTTATATTTTCGAGTTAGAAAGAACAGTTGGAAGCAAGATGGATTCCAGTCTGGGATGGTGTTGTGCCTGCTGTTGGATGGATAAATGTGTGCCAGCAGGTGGGCATAGTACCCTTCTCCTGCTACTTGGAGCCTGTGGTAGGTGAATAGTTTAAGCCCAAGAGTTCAGGGCTATCCTGGGCTATAATTATAGTAAGACCCCAAGATTCAATCAGTGCTTTTTGTGAGTTTTGTTTTGAGACAGAGTCTCAATGTATCCCAGACTGGCCTGAAACTAGATAAGTAGGCAAGAATGATCTTGAACTTCCCATCCTCCTGCCTCTGCTTCCACAGTGCTAGGAATTAAACCTAGGTTTTGTGCATGTTAGACAAACACTCTATCAACTGAGCTATATCCCCAGTCCCAGAACAAGCCACTGTTGTTATAAAATCTTACTGTTATCTGTAACCAAGTATCTACAGAAAAATGACCAGATGGGGTATTAAACAATGAGTTTTTCCTTCTTTAGGAACAAAGAGCAATACATTTTGTTTTGGTTTTGGTTTTTCAAGACAGGGTTTCTCTGTAGCTTTGTGCCTTTCCTGGAACTCACTTGGTAGCCCAGGCTGGCCTCGATCTCACAGAGATCCGACTGCCTCTGCCTCCTGAGTGCTGGGATTAAAGGCGTGCACCACCACCGCCAGTCCCTAATCTTTTTATTTTCCTTTTTTTGTTTCATGATAACTTTAGTGTATTTGTGTGTGTGAGACAGAGAGAGAGAGAGAGAGAGAGAGAGAGAGAGAGAGAGAGAGAGAGACAAACACCTCGTCCTACTTGTCTAGTAAGCACCCTTGACTGGGAGCAAGATGCTAGAGAACCAGTAAGCCACAGATCATGTGACAGTAAATAGATTAATGGAAATGGATTAATTTAAATATAAGAAGTAATTAGTTAGTAATATATGCCTCTGTGTGGTAATTTGGGAAAATTTGGGTAGCAGCTACCAGGTATTTGGGACCAGGCAGACAGGACAAAAAGCTCCACCTGTTTACAGGTGTTTGTTTTTGAGTCTCTGTGTATTTTTTCCTGCAGCTCACTAATGTAGACCAGGCTGGCCTCAAACTCAGAGATCAACCTGCCTCTGCTCTGCCTCCCAAGTGCTGGAATTGGCAAAGGCATGCTTTTTAAGAATTCACACTTTTTTTTAAGAGTTTATACTTGCTCTTCTTGCAGAATTTGAAACAGCTGAGACACTCCTAAACTCTGAAGTTCACATGCTTCTGGAGCATCGAAAGCAACAGAATGAGAGTGCAGAAGATGAGCAGGAGCTTTCAGAGGTTTTCATGAAAACTCTAAACTATACAGCCCGTTTCAGTCGTTTCAAAAACAGAGAGACCATTGCCAGTGTTCGTAGGTGAGTACTAACAGTAAGTTAAAAGACAAAATTTAATCATGTATGTATGTGTTATGAGGTGGGTTTTTGTTGTTTGTTTTGATTTTTGAGACAAAGTTTCTCTTTGTAACAGCCCCGGCTATCCTTTGTCTAACAGGCTGGCCTTCAACTCACAGAGATCTGCCTGCCTCTGCCTCCCAAGTAATGGGATCAAAGGCATGCGCTATCACATAACACCCAGCTCAGTGTTATGACTGTTTTGTCAGCTTGTATGTCTGTGCACCATGCACTGCCCACAGAGGCCAGAAGTGGTTATCAGATCCCAGGACTGGAATTACAGGCAGTTTGTGAGCCACCGTGTAGGTGCTGGGACTCAGAACTCAGGTCCTCTGGAAGAGCAGCCAGTGCTCTTAACTGCTGAGCCATCTCTCCAGCCCTACCTAAAGTTTTATTATTATAGATTCTTATGAGAGGTAGAGGCAGTAGGGTCAGGGAGTTCAAGGTCATCCTTAGCTGCATAGTGGGTTCAGGTCCTTGAGACCCTGTCTTAAAAACACAAAGGTGACACACACCTTTAATCCCAGCACTTGGGAGGCAGAGGCAGAAAGATCCCTGAGTTTGAGGCCAGCCTGGTCTACAGAGCTAATTCTAGGACAGGCTGCAAAGCTAACCATGAAATCTGTCTCAAAAAACAAAACAAAACAAAAACACAAACAAAAATGGAGCCTGTGAAATGCCTCAGTGGGTAAAAAGTGGTTCCTAGCCAGGTGGTGGTGGGGAAGCTTTTTAATCCCAACACTCAGGAGGCAGAGGCAAGCACTCTGAATTTATGCCCAGCCTTATCTATTGAGTTCCTAGACAGCCAGGGCTACACAGAGAAACCTTCTCTGGGGGTGGGGGTGGGGGTGACACTGACATTTTTATACAGGTGTAGAATTTATTTTGACCACACTCATTTCTCCCCATTGCTGCTCTTGTTTCACTCACACTGTATTGTTTGTCTTTCTGTATTTTTATTTTCCCTACAATCAGCTTGCTTCTCCAGAAAAAGCTGCATAAATTTGAGTTGGCCTGTTTAGCCAATCTTTGTCCAGAGACTGCTGAGGAGTCCAAAGCTCTGATTCCAAGGTTAGTACTGGATGGGACAAGTTTTGTCTGTATTATACAGATTTCTTTTAGTCAGATTGCTAGATCTAAACATTGTGTGCATTTAACTTTTGGGTTGATGACATGCCAGCACTGAATAAGAATGCAATTTTATGGTGTTGGAGAGATGATTTGGGGGTTGGTTTTGTTGTTTGTTGATGGCATTCTCAGGTGGGCAAGGCTTTCCTTGAGCTCTTGATTGTCCTGCTTCCACTTGTCAAGAGCTGGGATTACAGATGTGAGCAATAGTTTGAGTTTTTTTTTTTTTTATTTTTATCATTTATTTATGTATGTGTACACATGGGTATACATGTTTGTCATATTAAGCATGTGAAGGTCAGTGGACAATTTGGGGTAGTTAATTCTCTCCTTTTACCATGTAAGCTCCCAGGATCAAGCTCAGGGTGTTAGATTTGGTGGCAAGCCACCTTTACCAGCTGAACCATCTTGCCAGCCTGAGAACAGTGGTTTGATACCACACTGACAGGAAGGATATGGAACAGGGTGCTAGGGATGTAGCTCAGTGGTGGAGCTCTTGCTTATCGTATGTGAGGGTCTCTGAGTTTTTCTCCCAAAACCTCACAAAGGAGCATAGGAAACCATCAGAATTCTCCTACACTACAGGTAGTAGTAGACCAATTTTCTATGTCCAGTAAAATCAACGTGACTATTTCCCGTTACCCAAAAAGATACTCCAGTATTCACTTCTGTGGTATTGGGGATAACAGATATTAGACACAATCATTAAGTCAGTCAACAAGTGAACGACTAAAAAGTGAATCATTGCAGGGCCTGGTAGTTTGTGCTTTTAATCCTAGCAAAGGCAGACCCTTCTCTGTGAGTTCCAGGCCAGCTGGGGTTGTATAATGAGACCCTATCTCAAAAACAAGCCAAACTAAAATAAACAAAGCAAAAATTTAAATCATGTGTGACTGTTAAGCCTTTTAAAAATCTTTTATATATCTGTACTTTTTAGTGTTTCTATAAGGGAATGTTGAAAAGAAATTTAGCTTAAGCTTGAAAGTGGTAGAGCTAAGTGAGCTGCACTCAGAGATGACCTCTCTCTGAAAGACAGTGTGAGAAAACTGGCAGGTGCTAGATCACTTAAGTTTATTGGTCTTCTTGCAGCCTGGAAGGGCGTTTTGAAGATGAGGAACTGCAGCAGATTCTCGATGATATCCAGACCAAGCGCAGCTTCCAGTACTAATGTCCAGACCCCTGGTCCTGAGACAGCTCCAGAACAGCACCACATCCCCGTCATCATCACACAGGAGTGATGGACATTTGGACTGCTTTTGTACTGTTTGCTTTATTGAGATACAGAGTCACTCTGTAGTCCTCAAACTCATGACAGACCTCCTGCCCAAGCCTCCCAAGTGCTGGGATTACAAGTGTGAGCCAATGCTCAAGGCTTGGCTTTTGGAGGGGAAAGGCTGGCTTGGTGATGGTCTAGGTTGCTGTCTCCACAGTGACTATTAGACCATAATTATTGTGTCTTCCTGTTACAGCCTTGTAAGGACTATTATGGTCAAGTGTGCTGCAAATCTGGACTGGTGAGGTAGAGTGATATGTTCACTACCTCTTATCTTGATTTTTTTGGACCCTGTGTTATTTGTTCTTGACATTTCAATTTTTAATATAAATATTGTTTGTAGTTTTTCAAATTAAACTGTTATATAAAAAACTTGACTGGGGAAGAATGTTCTTACCTAGTTGCAAAGGGAGAGATAAACCAGAACACTGTCACTGTTTGACTTTTTTTTTTTTTAAGAAATATAGATGTGGTGGTCTGAATGTAACTGGCCCTATATTCTCATGGGGAGTAGCATTATTAGGAGGTGTAGCTTTGATGGAGTGTGTCACTGTGGGGGCAGGCTTTGAGGTCAGCTGGGTAGCCAAAAAGCCTCAACAACTCTGTTTCCACTCCCTTGATGACCTTCAGCATTAGGGTTAGAGGCATGTACAGGTGCAACACGCCAGTCTGTAGATGTAATTCTGAATGGTCTTACTAAATGAGAAACACAGAGCCAAATGCAGAGTTAAAAGCCCAGAGATCGAGCAGCAGCCAAGAGCTAAGACCACCTTCTAACCCCTTGTTGCTGTCATCCTTCCCCTGAGCAAGAGACCTACTTCTTGTGTGTCTGTATTTTTATTGACTTTCTGTTCTGCCTTCTCATTGGTTCTAAACACGACCACATGACTTCTTCGTCACTGCCTGTCTATACAGACCTCCAGGTCTTCTATGGTTAGTACTTGGATTAAAGGCATATGTCACCAAGCTGGCTATGTCCTTGAACACACAGACTCTGCCTGCCATGTGATCAGAATAAGGGCGTGTGCTACCACTGCCAGACTTCTGCTAAATGGCTTGCTACTAGTTCTGACCCCTAGGCAACTTTATTAACATACAAATAAAATCACATTTCAGCCTAAATAGAATCTCACCACACCAGTCTTTTCACTAATTTTAGTGCTAATGATGCACACTCAGATCTTCATGCTTACACAGCAGGTGCTCGTATTCACTGAGCCACCCTGAAGTGTTAAAAGAATGGGAACACAGTTCATTGAAAGAACTTTGGCATTGCCTTGCCTAACCTGGAGACTGGAAGGAAGCACACTGTTGGAAGCAATTACCCCTAGGTTCCTTAGCCTGTGGTACATGTACTTCATCTTGGGGTAAGGGACTTTCTTGAAGAATGTGTATTTGGAGTAGCCTTGAAGGATGTATATTGTCACTCTCAAATGAAGATCTTTCCTTCATAGGATGTATTTGAAGACTGAACACTGAAGTCTTCTCATGAGATGTCTAATCCAAACCTGGTTAGATACTTAGTACTTTTATTCTGTCATAGAGGTGATGTGGAAGGAATGATTGTGTTCCTTTTTCTGTGCTGGAGATCAGGACCACTATGCCTGTTGTCTTAGGGTTTCTATTGCTGTGAAGAGACACCATGAACACAGCAACTCTTTTTTGTTTGTTTTTGTTTTTTATCAAGATGGGGTTTCTCCATGTAGTTTTGGTGCCTGTCCTGGATCTCGCTCTGTAGACCAGGCTGGGCTGGGACTCACAGAGATCCACCTGGCTCTGCCTCCTGAGTGCTGGGACTAGAGGCATGCACCACTGCTGACTGGCTACAGCAACTCTTTTTTTTCAAGGTTTTTTTTTTTTTTTTTTGGAGCTGAGGATTGAACCCAGGGCCTTGCTAAATCCCCAGCCCTAGATGTCTGTTTCAGGTTTTTTTTTCCAAGATTATTTATGGGCCTTGCTAAATCCCCAGCCCTAGATGTCT